GGCAAACAGGATGAAGTTTAATGAAGACAAATGCAAAGTGCTCCACTTAGGAAGGAACAATCAGTTTCACACATACAGATTGGGAAGCGACTGTCTAGGAAGGGATCTAGGGGTTATAGTGGACCATAAGCTGAATATGAGTCAGTAGTGTAATGCTGTTGCAAAAAAAGCAAACATGATTCTGGGATGCATTAACAGGTGTGTGGTGAGCAAGACACGAGAAGTCATTCTTCCGCTCTACTCTGCACTGGTTAGGCCTCAGTTGGAGTATTGTGTCCAGTTCTGGGCACTGCATTTCAAGAAAGATGTGGAGAAATTGGAGAGGGTCCAGAGAAGAGCAACAAGAATGATTAAAGGTCTAGAGAACATGACCTATGAAGGAAGACTGAAAGAACTGGGTTTGTTTAGTTTAGAAAAGAGAAGATTGAGGGGACATGATAACAGTTTTCAGGTAACTAAAAAGGTGTCATGAGGAGGGAGAAAACTTGTTCATCTTGGCCTCTGAGGATAGAACAAGAAGCAATGGGCTTAAACTGCAGCAAGGGAGGTTTAGGTTGGACGTTAGGAAAAAGTTCCTAACCGTCAGGGTGGTTAAACACTGGAATAAATTGCCCAGGGAAGTTGTGGAATCTTCATCTGTGGAAATATTTAAGAGTACCATGAGGGCAGGGAACTGGACTCGATGACCTCTTGAGGTCCCTTCCAGTCCTAGTATTCTACGATTCTATGATTCTACACTAAGCACCAGAGGTCCCAGATTCAAATCTCCCCTACACAACGGCTGGGCAGGAAGCAGATTTGGCAGAGCTGTAAAGCATGGTCTTAAGTGGTGATTGATTGGATCTTCTCTCCAATCAGTGGAGTCCTACCAAAGGGGGAAACCTGCTAGAACCCTAACTAAGAGGAAAATCTGGACTCTTGGGGCCATGCCCCAGATTTAAGGACTATACTCATATAACGGGCTGGTGTTTCCAGGCTGGGGCACCAGTAGCAGGGTTCTGCACCCTTTTTCTGCTGGCTAATTCTGGGACCTAACCATTAGACCACCCTGCCACCAGGGAGACCTGGCCACAGTGAGATAATATCTTATTGGACCAACTTCTGATGATGTGAGACAAGCTTTCAAACTACTCAAAACTCTTCCTCAAATCTGCATGGGATGAGAGGGAAACTGTTGGGGGCAGAGAATTAGTGGATTATACAACAGCCTTCCTACACCCAGTTTCTTCCCATTACAGGAGCAGTGTTAATGAGCTACTTCACTTTGACTGGTCCCTTGAAATGTGTAAATTATGCTAAACAATCTGTTCCAGCTTGTGTTTAGCTGTGACACTGAAGAAGAGCTGGAAGCTTATCTTTCACCAACAAAAGCTGGTTCAATAAAAGGTATTACCTTAGCCATCTTGTCCAACATAGGCCTGGCCTTTGCTGGAAAACACACCTGAGCAGCATAGTCACGCTGTCCTGTCTTTTATTGACCTAGTTATTGCCTTTTGGGGAGGGAGGATTACTTACTGGAGAATCTCTCCTGGTAGTGTTGTAGGTAGTGTCTGTCTTCACTGTAGTGTTGCAGCAGTGCATAACACAAGAACTAGGAGTCACCCAATACAGTTAATAGGCAGAAGGTTTAAAACAAACAAACGGAAGTATTTTTTAACACAATGCCCATCAGCCTGTTGGACTCTTTGCCAGATGATGTTGTGAAGACATAACAGGGTTGAAAAAAGAACTAGAGGATTTCATGAAGGATATGATCTTTCAATGGCTTTTAGCCAGGAGGGGCAGAGTGGTGTCCCTAGCCTTTATTTGCTAGAATCTGGGAATGGATCACTTAATCATTACTTCTTCTGTTCATTCCCTTTGGGGCACCTGACATTGGCCACTGTCAGAAGACAGGATAATGGGCTAGATGGACTCTTAGGCTACATCTACACTGTACCTCTGTGTTTGTTTTAGCCACTGCAGCTCTCTTATGCAAATGCTTATGCAAATGAAGCACAGATTAGCATAATTAATTAGGGGATATTTTTTGCACAAGAGGCTTTTGCGCAAAAAGGAGCTGTGTAGATGGCTCCTTTTTACACAAAACCCCCCTCTTGTGCAAGAGCCGTTCTTCCTAATTTTTCTTCCTGAAAAAATGAGAACGGCTCTTGTGCAAGAGGGTGCTTTTGTGCAAAACGGAGCTGTGTAGACGGCTCCTTTTTGCGCAAAAGCCTCTTGTGCAAAAAATATCCCCTAATTAATTATGCTAATCTGTGCTTCATTTGCATAAGCATTTGCATAAGAGAGCTGCAGAATAAGGGTTCTTGAGCAAAAGAGGATTTTTTGCGCAAAACGGACCAGCCAAAACTGGGTATTTTTGTGCAAAAAAGCATCAGAAGAGAATATGAAAATGAAGCATGAGAAGTTGCTAATGAGCGCTTCATTTGCATTGCCTCTTCTGTAAAAAAGCGGCAGTGTAGACATAGCCTTTGTGTGACCTGCTGTAGTGTTTGTGTTATGCTGCTGTAGTGTTTGTAAGGGTAAACAAGCCCTTACAGGCCCAATTCATCAGTAGTATAAGGGCAGAGGTATAAATTACATATAAAGTGGGTGTGAGTCTGTCAGTCTGAGAAGCTAGTGGAAATCCGAGGCCTCGATTCCACCAGTAGTTCTGTGTAGGCAAGCCCATATGCCTGGATTTCCAAAGCCCAAGCCCATATTTGGTCTGGGTGCTGGTAGGCCGTCCTACACATCCGTAGACTTTCAGAGCTGAACCATT